ACCTGTGGAAACAGAGAGCTGACTGCACATACTTGTTATTTCTTCCATCTTAAAGAGTGAACTTCTTTTCCCCACTTTTCCAGACTTCCTACTCTATTTCTTTGCCCTGGCTTTTGGCAATGTAGCTTTTGCCATCACCACTCCACCTAAATTGCTCATCCAGATTACTAATAATCACATTGCTAAATTCAGGGATCAATTTGTAGTCCTCATCTTACTTCAGCAGTAGTTTTACATCACTGATCATTTCCTTCTCCTGGAAATGCTTTCTTTCCTTGGTTTCTAGGCTACTACACTGTCTTGGTTTCCTCCTGTCTCCCTGATGACTTTTCTTAGTCTCCTCTGCTCTCTCTCCCTATTCCCCCGACTACTGGAATGCTTCAAGGTCTAGTGCTTGGTACTGTTCTCCTATTTATCTACACACACTCACTCAGTGATCTTACCCAGTTCACGCTAAAGATATCTACACGATAATGACTCCCAAATTTATGTCTTCAGTCCAAAACTTCCTCACAAACTCCCACAGACAACCATCAGTTTGATATTTCCACTAGGCTATCTGATAGACATCTCAAACTTAAATATCTAAAACTGAACTCATGTTGATCTTTCCCTCCACGTCTCTTCTAACTGGAGATTATTCCATTCAGTTTATGGAAACTTTACCCTTCTCCCTGTTTGGGCCAAAATCTGGAAGCATCCCTAACTCCTATCTTTCTCGCTCACCTCGCATCCTATTCATAGCTAATCCTGTTGGCTCTATTTTAAACATTCATCCAGAACCAATCACTTTTCACCACCTCCACAGGGCTATCACTCCAGACAAAGCCACCCCAGCCATCTCTCAAGGATTACTATAAAAGCTTCCGAATTGTTTTTCTTGTTCCTAACCTCCCCTCCTCGCAGTCTACTCCAAATAAGCAGCCAGAGTGCCTACTTTTGTTTGTAACATTTTACTAGGGAAAAATCTACATAACAGCATAAAGAACACTCATTATATACTCATTATCCAGCTTTGATAATTAATGTATAACCTGTCTGGTTTCATTTTTAACCTCTGTAGTATCCTGCCCTCCAGACTGCTTTGAAGCAAATCTTAGACATCATTTCATAGTGACCTGTTAAAAATATAAATCAAATTATGTCACTCATCTGTTCAAAACCTGCCAAGGCTCCCCCTTTAAATGCTGAGCAAAAACAAAAGATCTTTTCTTTTTTTTAAATCTTTTGGCAGCACTGTGTGGCATGTGGTATCTTAGTTCTCTCAAAAAGGGACCAAACCCATGCCCTTTGCCTTGGAAGCTTGGAGTCTTAACCACTGGACAGCCAGGAAAGTCCTCAAATAAAAGACCTTATAAGGGCCCTGGGAACCCTTCACCATGGGTTTGCACACCATGGCCCACAGACTAAATGCAGCCAGCTGCCTGTTGTAATGTGGCCCAAGAAATATGAATAGGAGCTAAAGATGGTTTTTATGTTTTTAAATAGTGGAAAACAATCAAAAGAAAAAGAATATTTTATGGCATAAAATGACTTTCAAATTTTAGAGTCCATAAATAAAGTTTTATTGGTATACAGCCATCCTCATTTGCTTAAGTACTGTCTATGGCTGCCTTTGTGTTATAAAGACAGAGATGACTAATTGTGACACAGAGTATATGGCCTGAAAAGCTTAAATATTTACTATCTGGCCCTATACAGAAAAAAGTTGCCAACCCTTGCCCTAACCAATCAGATCCCTGTGTAATCTCTCTGATCTTCTCTTCCCACACACTCCATTACAGTCTCACGGGCCTCTTTTCTATCACTCAGACAGACCAAACACACTCCTGTCTTGGGGCCTTTGCACTGGCTGATCCCTCTGCTGGGAACATTTTTACCCCAAATATATGCAGTGTCTTCTCTCACCTTCGAGTCTTTGCTCAAATGTCACAACTATGGTGAGTCTTACTCTGACCATTTTATTTAAACTTGCAGTGTATGCTCCCTGCCTGACAATCCCCATCTTCTTTCTATACTTCATATTTTGGCATATTTTTCCTTTCCATAGCACATACTGACTTATAATGTGCTATTTAATATGTATTGCTTATCACTGATTTCTCTCAAATCGAAATGTAAGTACCCTGGTGCAAAGTTCTTTTTTGGTCCATTGATAAATCCAAAGTGCCTAGAACAATGCCTGGCACACAATTAGGCATTCAAATATCTGTTGAATACGTGAAATTCCTAATAATCAAAATTTTAAGAGACTTTTGTGACTACCACAGCAGCATACATCTCTACTTCACTGATCCATGTATCAACACAATGATAATTGAAGCATGGCAGGTACCTCACAGAAGAAATTCTCCACCTGATACTGACCACAGCAAGGTAACAAGAAAGTCAACACTGTTTACACCAAAGAGTTGCTGAAATCTCTTACCTAAGCCACTGCTGCCAATTGTTGGCACAGCTAAGAATTTATGATAACTGTAATGGAGAGGCTGGCAAATAGTTACCTAACAATCAAAGGACATTACTGAAAGTATACATTCAGTGGATCCTAAACCAAGGAAGAAGAAAAGTTGAGCTATGCATCCTATGTAGCTGGTATTTCTCCAGTGGCTTTGGATGCTGACCAGCATTTGGGAGACAGTTGAGGTGGTATACCAAAGGTCCAAATAAGACATTAGACAGAAAAAAAATACATGGGGTGTGGAGTCTGGGATCAAGGCATGACAAGATAATTACGGCCGAATTCCCAAGGAGGGTTATTATGTAGAAAATGGAGACAGTCACACACACACAAAAAAATTTCTAGTTTGGGCCATTCAGAGAAGTCCACCAGAACAAAGCAACTGGAGTGATGAAAAAAAAGTGTTATTGAATCTTCCCATTGCTTAACACTACTTTATGGAAACACCAGAGTCAGAATTTTGAAGCCAGATTATCCCTTGCTTAGAACTTAATGCTGGTTCATGAAACTACATGCAACAGAGGAACTGGATGGGGAATGTTGAAGCAAGTAAAATGATGGATGTATTTTCTTTTATTACCTCAACAAGAAAGCTGAGAATTAGCTATTATATATCTGTATTTTAACAACCATATTTTAAGCCACTACTTTCATTTAGTAAATTCACAGTATACTAAGCAGAGATATTACAAAAGTAAAGGTAGCATATAGATGCATTACAAATTATCTGTTATATAAAGGTGTTGGATTTGTTAAGATTGAGAAAAACTAAGACTTCATTGGAACTTCATTAAATCTCTAATTTACTCAGTAAAAAAAAAATTAAGTCTTAATTTGGAAAGACCTTTACAAAATGCAGAATCTAAACTCAAGTGAAAAACCCACTCCAGAATGTTTTTTCCATCAATCTATTCATCCATCATCCACCTATCGATCTAATATTTATTGTCAATTTGCCATGTCAGGGGTTTGGAGGATCTAAGGATGAAACAGTTCGAGCTTACAGCCTCCTAGGGAAGCTAAGACTTATAGGTAAGTAACTACAATAGAGGGCAGAATGTGGTAATATGGTGCGTTTTTTCTCTCATCATAGTCATGCTGCCAATTACTAGCTGCTGTAAAAAATCACCCTTTAAAGCAGTAAATATGGGGGAAAATGCAGGGAGAACAATAAGGACAGTAAGTAAATTAATGGATGTAAATTCAATGTGCTATTATAAAGTGACTATATGGTAATTATGAAAACATGGAAATTTTTTTTTTACTGGGGAGAATGCATATACATTTAATCTATGATACAATTAAATACAGTTATAGTTATTCAATAAGCTGACACTGGGCAGGCATTCTCCTTTGTGCTAGGGAAACAATGATGCATAACCTTGGCCCTCAAGAAGCTCACATGTGGGGAGCAATCAGGAGGGAACTTAGGAAAGCCTAAAAAGGCAATGTGTTAATGCAGTAGACCCCATGGGAATAGTTTTCCTTAAACAATTTCCTCCTTGCTAAAGTGCTATAGTTAAATAAAATAATCGAAAAAAAATTTTTTTAAAAAGCAAGACAAAGTATGCAGTCCTGTCAAATGTAAAAATGAGTTTAAAAACTAAAAGGGCTTTTGGGGTCCAGGTTTAAAGCAAGACATCTACAAGATGAATCAGATAGCAAGAAACCTCATGAAACACCTAGAGACACTGTCCCTAAGCTATGACATCATATGGCCCCCTTTCTGTGAAGGTGAACATGTAAACCTAACTGGAACCAGCCTGTAGCACCAATGCAAGAGGCCTGGGGAGTGGAAGGTCAGCCCTTACTCCCTTCTTGCCAGGAAAGCCACCTTACTACATTTGGAATAAAAGGTGAGATGACATTCTGGAAAACTAGATTATGAGGGATCAATATTTCTGCCTTTTCTGGGTGTAACTGGCCTCTCCCAGCCCATTCTCCACCCCCACCCCCCAAATGCTGCTTTTGGGTGCGCCAGCTACAACTTCTGCTTCAAGCAGCTAAATTTCTATGCCTCAGATGTCTCAGAAAACTCTACTTGCACTATCATATGCAACAATTGTGCCTTTGAGAATGACTTTCAAGTCTAGCAAACCAGAATTTATCCATTTAGATGCATCTTTCCTATCAAGTGAGTTGCACTTAGTCCAACAACAGAATTATCTGTCAAACTGCCCTGGAACCCAAGTCGTCCATCCTCCATGGGTGAGCCACACAAGAACATGGGCCTGGTTGTTTAGAAGTTATGGCTTGTTTCCACCCAGGATCATCTAGCTTCAGAACTCACCCAATTCATCAGATCTGACAGCAAAGGATGGGAATTAACCACCACGATGGCTACTAAGAAGAATAAGCTGAAGGGTCCAGAGGCAACATCCAAAAACAGTTCTAGAAATGGTCTGCATAGTAGCAGAGCTCCAGAAGTGAGTGGGAGGTGGCTTCCTGAGTACCTTTCAGTGAGCAGGATGCTCTCACTGGGAGGGTGAGTTTGGCTAATTTGGTGTTAACCCACTCCACCACTTCTCATTGGACTTACCTGAATACAAGCACCTGTCTTCAACTTGCACAAGCTGCAGACTAAGGCCCACCGACTGGGCGGAATATGGGAGATCTTTGTGATTGGTTCCATTCTCTCAGGACAAGCAATGCTGACCTACAAATAAAACACCACCATAAGGCAGAACGCACCAAGGCATTCCAGAAGTACCTTTCACAAACCCTGAGTGGTATTACTCGCAGCTCAGAACATCAAAACAATGAGGTAAGCCATGTCTCTTAAGGTTATTATGGAACTAAGAATAAATGAAACCTGTCTCTAGCCACTGCTCAGGCCTTCAATCATTTCTAGTAATATAAACAATTCATATATAGGAGGAGAGGGGAGAAGTAGAGACTAAGCATGGTTACCTTAATGAATCAAAGATATCTACACTTTACTTAGGAACCAAAGAAAGCTACTGAGGAAAGGAATTAAGATTCACAAAATCTAGCACCTCTTACATGTTTGAGATGGTGCCACATGCCTTGTTTTTTTCATTTAACCAATGAACGATGAAAAACAGAGGCAGTGACATAATATTATTGAAAAGTAGTAGCAATCTGCAGCACATAAGTAGAAAAGATGAGGATGCTAACATTTAAAAATCAATCTTTAAAATCATGTAACTACTACCAGCTTAGTCTATTCCCCCAGCCAAAGTAGCTTGCTTGCTTTATTTATTTTTCATTTTTTTGGGCCATGCCACATGTACAGGATCTTAGTTTCCTGATCAGGGATTGAACCGTGCCTCCTGCAGTAGAAGCAGAGTCCTAACGATGTACTCAAAGTAGCTTTAAAGTGAAACGAGTCTTTGAGAGAGTGCTGAAAGAAATGCTTTTTTAAAAAAGATGGAAATTTTTGTGTGTGTGTGTGTGTGTGTGTGTGAAAATAAGGGGTCAAGCAACTTCTGATAAGAAGTGTTTTCTTTTTCTTTTCTTTAAAATATATAATGTGTTTTTAAGAAACAACTTTAAAAAGTGAAGGACCATTGAACAAGGACAGTTAAACAAGTACAAGTTCCACCCACATCAGGAAAGCAACAGTAGAAAGATCAGGGACATCTTGAACAGGCCCATAGATACTAGAAATCAGGTACTAGAAACTGTAAGAGAAGGTCAATGGTGAGAAAGCTTCTTTTAATAAAAACTCTTCCTGAGTCATATTCCAGACTTCTAACATTTTTTTCAGACTTTTAATATTTTGAAAGAATCTGCTTTATTAGCTAGGGAATTTGCTACTGGAAATTACTGATTCTCTGGCCAGAAACCTCAGAATTCATTTCACATGTCTATTAGCTGGATGTTCTTAGTAAGAAAAATAAAACCACTAGTCAAATTAAAAAAAAAAATATTGACTTCTGTATCCATAAGAGGGCTTCCCAGGTGGCGCAGTAGTAAAGAATCCGCCTGCCAGTGCAGGTTCGGTCTCTAGGTCAGGAAGTAGTAGCCATTTCCTGGAGTAGGAAATGGCAACCAGCTCCAGTATTCTTGCCTGGGAAATCCCATGGACAGAGGAGCCTGGCGGGCTACAGTCCATGGGGTCGAAAAAAGTCAGACTCAGCACACATATCCATAAGAATACTGTAGTATGTACCTAGGATTTTCAGTTCAGAAGTTGCAGCTTGCAGGCTCTAGAGGATGCAGGTTCAGTAGTTGTGGTGCATGGGCCTAGTTGCCCATGCATGTGGAATCTGCCTGGACCAGGGATTGAACCCATGTCCTCTGATTGAACCCAAGGCAGGCAGACTCTTAATCACTGGATCACCAGGGAAATCCAACGTATGGTACTTTTAAGGTAGGTTTTACCTTAAAAAAATCTGCTACTTATCCCCTTTTCTCTCATCCAAATTTATCCAATACCACTGGCAAAAGCGAAACGTGAAAGTGTTAGTCACTCAGTTGTGTCTGACTCTTGGTGACCCCATGGACTATAGCCTGCTAGGCTCCTATGTTCATGAAATTCTCCAAGCAAGAACACTGGAGTGGGTAGCCATTCTCTTTCTCCATGGGATCTTTCTGACCCAGAGAATGAAACCCCAGTCTTGTGCATTGCAGGCATATTCTTTACCATCTGAGGCACCAGGGAATGGCCCTGGTGGTATTTAAGGTAGGTTTTACCTTTAAAAAAATCTGCTGCTCATACCCTCTTCTCTCATCTAAATTTATCCAATACCACTGGTAGTACCACCTATAAATTAATTAGCATGGGCTCACATGCATCCAAGAAGGATGTGACAGAGGTCAAGGAGAACCATTATCAACTCAGAATCATGGGCAGGCAAGAAGCATCTCTATGAAGCCTCAGTCAGTTTGAATGTTGTGGGAGAACAAATGGCTCACAGACCTGGATGAATTCTTACCTCTGGAATCCATAGGGCACAGCTGACATGAGCCCATTTAGTCCCTGTTTTGGTGGTCTTCATGGCTCCACCTTTCTTTGGACATAACAGACATTGTGGATGAATGCCCAGGACACAGGAGCGACACAGCCAGCTGCCTTCTGGGACCTTGAGGATGCCGTAGCAGGCCTGGAGGCACGGGAAGGAGAGCGGGGAATGGTTAGCATCTACTTACTGGGTCAATGTCTGCTCTGGTACACAGTCACAGAGTACCCTCCACTTTTAGGAGAAAAGGTCAAACAAGCTCATATCCAGGATTTAGTAATTTTAAAACACTCAAAATAAAAAAGCAACTTCTAGCATCTGTTCTAAGATCAGCATGTCTCTCTATGAGAATTTACTTTAAGGGCAAACAGAGTAAGACTAGAAGGATATACACGCAAAGGTTAGCTCAACTGTTATGAGTTTTGTGATTGCATATTTTTTTCTTTTTTGCCTCCATTTTCTAAAGCTTTCTCAATGCTTATGTATTATAATTAGTCAGTCATATACTTACTGAACAATGTCTGTATGTCATGCACTGTTGTGATCAAGGAAAAAGTGTTAGGAAATAAGCAGAGTGACACTTCTGAAGAGCAAATGAGCTAATATTAAAGAGCCTGATAGTGCCTGGTGCATAAAAAAGCACTCTCAACAAATTGTAGCAATTACTTGCTTCGGTTGAAAAAAAAGGGACTTAATGGATCCTAAACTGAACACAATATTAGACTAATCACAATACTCCATAATGAGTTCTTGAAGCCACTTCAAATTCCTTACAGAATAAAGATGGATAAATAAATAAACTACTATGGGGGAGGGAGATTAGACTGGGTAATATTTTAGATTTCCTTTTCACTACCTCTAATCTCACCCATCCTTCCCCCTTACTGCTCAATCCTCATCATTAGAGACTATAGCTGAGGGCCACTTAGCTCCCCAGGTGACCTAGCATACCTTTACCAATGACTGATTCACCATTGCAGATTCAAAGTCTGTGCCTGCCCCAGAGAGTTCACCCACAGCTCAGATTCAAGTTCCAACAGTCACTATCATGTTAGCCCCCAACTAGCCTAGCCCCCTTTCTAAACTCTCTCCATCCATTATCACCACCATACTTTGCAGCTTCCAGATCCAAATTCCTTGATCTCTATTATCCACTTTCCTTCATCTGTTGTCCCCTGGGCTTGCTAATACTCCCTTCAGAGAGGTCACTAGACTCTGACCTTCTCCATCTCCACCACAGCTACTAAATCCAAGTCCTTATTCATATCATGCCTGGGCTGATTTATTTCTAAATTCTCTTCTTTTTCCTTCATACTTTCAATCCTTCTTCTGTTTGGCTGCTATGGTCTTTATACCAATGCACAGCAATAAAGCCTCTAAAATCTCCTTCTGCTCCCACCCCCAACTCCTCTAAAACCAGGGGGTTGGCAAACTACTTAAGGCCCATTTCATAAGGCAAACAAGCTAAATAAGAATGGTTTCCATATTCTTAAAGGAATGTTAAAAAAAATAATAATATGTAACAGGGACTATATGTGGTCTTTAAAGTATTTACTATCTGGCCCTTCAATGAAAAAGCCCACTGTTCTTCACCTCAATTCTCAGATCACTAGAACCCCTGTGTCTGTTCCACTTCCTGACTCCCAACCCCCACTCAACATGTTTTCCCTCATCAGGTACTTGGTCAATATCATGTATTCTTCTCTACTTTAACTGTTATGTTTCATCTCCTCAGTGATACTGTAAGGTCACTGGGGTAGGTTCTTTATCATCAATTTATCTGGATGGCTCGCTATGCTGAGCTTGAGTAGGTGGTTTGGTACAACAAATACATTTCACTCAAGAACTGAAGCTGGATTCTAACTATGCTGCTCTCACAAAAGCAGGACATCATTTTATAAGGTCCCTAACCTTCAAAGCTTTTTCCTTTTCTGAAATTCAGAGTCTGCAAAGAAATGAAAGCAAGCTTCCTCCCTAAAATAGAGCCTTTTTCAAACCAGCAAAAGAAAAACCAGTAGCTGGTTCTAGGAATACCCTTTATTACATGGCCATTTTATTGGGTAGAAAATCATTTACTGAGCTCTTATGTAGATTTATTCCTAGTCATAAGATCACAGAAGCTTGCAATTCACTGTAGTGGCTCTCAACTTTTCCTAGACCACAAAATGATGAAGGCTGGACTCTTAAAACTGCCCACATGCATGAACATATGTTTCACATATAACTTCAGGAGGTTAATAAATTTAGTGCCAAACATTATATATATGACAGGTATAAAAACTACGAGCATGTACCTTCAGGTAAATTAATTTAGGCCTCAGTTTGAGTGTTCAATATTTGGGCTAAGAAGTAGAAAATGGAACACATTAAGGGACTTGGAATGGTCCCAATTTTCACACTTTTTAATGAAAAAAATGTAAGTTCTTTTTAAAATCCAAAATTTACTGATGTAAAATAAAACTCTTCTAAAGCACTGACCATAAGTGTATTGTAGTCACAAAGAAACAAATGTTGATATAATATGGTGGCAGTAAAGAAGAAAAATTATGTTTAATAAAAACAATTGTCAACATGTCCCCAATTCTATTAAGTAAACCAAATCTTCCAAATCATTTAAAGTCACTTTTCAGTCAACAGAGGGAGCTCTAACCTAAGCATCTCTTTAGAATTCAAGTGAACATACTCACTTCAGAAGAATTCTCTTATACGAAACTTTCTGTGGCACCAACATTCAGCTTTAATACATACCAGTTTATATTCTGCAAGGCCTGGTCACGTGTTATTGTCATTTCTTTCTACGTGAGGAAAGGGACCATTTATAGTCATTACTGGGTATGTTTTCAAAGCAAAATACCTTTAAGGAGAATTATTATGCTGCATTTTGTTAGCCAAAGAACCTGGAAATAATTTATTAATATTTTGTCCTAACTGTGAAGGAAAAATACAGAAAATGTATACAGATGATCTTGGTACTATTACCTTCAAATCTACTAAAGATCCACAATCATTTATCTGAAAACTCTAGGGTAAGAAACATCAGGAAATTTAGAACTGTGCATATCTCAGGAAAGTAATACAGTATATACATGGCATATTATATAACCCCCTAATGCGACCAGGGCAGTACCATATAATCAAATACAATACATTAATAGTTCTCTAACAAAATATGAGTATTTTCACAAACTGGACTAAAGACTACAAAAAGCCTCACACTGGGTAAGTCCTGCATCTTCCTTCAAATCATTTGGTGCCAAACTTATATAAAATCCTGGTTTCTCTCTCCTGTATTATTTAGTCATTTTAGTAATTTTGTAGCCAGAATGACATTTCTGAATTACAAATCATATCCTTCAGGGTTGACAGGACAAAACTGAAGCTTCTTAGTTTATCAGGGAAGGCCTTTCACATGTTCCATGTATCCCTCTCTAGTCTCACTCTCCATGCCTTCCCTACTTGACCCCATCACTCTCCACAGTTCTGAACTGCTCAGACTTGCCTCTGACATACTTTGCCTACTCTTACTACCCCACCTGAACATGTCCTCCTCTCTGCCTGAACACATGCTGCTGGTTTTTTTTTCTGGCATTTCCTTTTAGCTGTTAAGATCAGCTTGGGTTCCACCTCCTGGAAGTTATCCCCAACCTCTATCCGTCCCATGCACTTCTACAGCAGCATGGACTTCTATCTACAAAAACACTTGGCATACTATGCTCAATGGGCAGTTTCCTCATAGAGCCTACACCAGACTCTGAATTCCCTGGGGGCAAAGACCATGTCTGCCTCTTCATCACTGTGTCTTCAGCATGCAGCAGAGTCCTGGTACGTGGAGGATGGTGTTGCATACCTATTTGCTAGATAAATTAACGAAATGAATGAAACACACATGTTCAAAAGGGTAAACAATTACTTAGGGTAAGGGACTTCAAGAAAGGACTTGAACTAGATCTTGAAAGATACGTAAAGTTTTGTTAGCCAGAAGTGGGAGAAGGCTGTAAGAGGTTGGGTAAAGTCACTTCATCTCTCTTGGTGCTATTTGTAAAATTAAGGAGTGGGTCAGTTTTTTACAATCCTAAAATTCTACTGTTTAAAAGTAGAGTGGACCAAGTTTCCTGGGAGTGGTATATTTGGGAGATGGAGGAGAGGTTTGGGTGCTAGGATGAGAAGTCCGCACTTTCAGATACAGGAAGTGTAAACTCACCAAGGTTACTGACCATGGGTGTAACCTGATGATATAAAAGGGACTCCAAGGCAGAGGAGAGACTCCCAGGCAGGTAGCAAGGAGACTCCCCAGGGGACTGTAAAAAGTATTGAACAAGGCGATCTCAATGGCTTGGGCATGATGATACACAATAAAGACCTGGGTTTAGCCCCCTGGATTAAAGTTAATAAGTCAACTTGGGGATCATAAGAAGTATTATTTCTAAAGGAATTACTGGAGAACAGCCAGGCCAAGTTGTTATTTTCACCCTTAAATGCAAGTTGCAACCCAGATATGGGTGCTGGAGATCATTACTGAGCTTCAGAAAGGCTGACCGTGGGGAGGTGGCGGTCTCCACTCTCACTAACCTGATGCACACAGATGTTACACTTATCACAGAACACCATATCATTCCCTTCTTCACTGTCTGGAGACCGGCACACATCACAGATCACATCTTCATCATACTCTATGCCTAGCCCTTCCTCTGTCTCAATAGCATGGTTCATATTTTCATGGCAATGGCGTTCCAGGACTTCTACTGTCTTTTCCATAAGATTCTCATCAACTGGCCCATAACCTGCACAGAAATACAAACAATCAATCAACCCATCAGTCAGCTGTCATTCCCAAATCACCTACTGTGAGCCCAGTGCAAGGGTATGGGGATTCTAAAGGATAAAATCATCTCTTCCCTGATTTTAAAACCAGATTTTAAAGAATCTTTTACTAGAGCTGTTCTAAAATTAGTGTTTGACACATGAAAGGAGAAATACATTTCACCATATTCCTTGTAAGCTATATACACTGACCCTTTCAATTTTCTGTCCAAATCCTAGCCAGTCTCCTCCTAAAATTTGTTTTCTCTCTCTCTCTCTCTCTTTTTTTTGGCTGCACCACGCGACTTGCAGGATCTCAGTTCCCCAACCAGGGACTGAACTTGGGCAATGTCAGTAAAAGCCTGGAATCCTAACCACTAGACCACCAGGGAACTCCCCTGAATTTGTTTTCTCTTAATCCCACTGAGGGAGGACTTTCACTGAACTTTGTAATTTTGAACACTTTAGTTTACAGTATAATAATTAGAATCATATAACTATTTGGATATAAACAACATGCAATACAATGCAATGAATTGCATTCTCAGCAAACTAGTTCCAATGAGCACATTTAATGGAAATTTTCATACAAAAAGGTACCAAGTCATAAAACAAAATTCTAGGTACTGTATATGTTACTATACATATGAAATACTTGTTTTTCAAATCTGATTTTTAGAAAATCCAATAATATTTTCTAATGACAAACTATAATATAAAATAAACTTATTAGCATTCACAAATCTAATTGGAAATTCTGAAATACCTTTTTTTGCCTCTTGATTCTTTTTCCTTCTACACTTTTAATTTTTCTCAGTCTTCTATACATATTAACCCAACTAAAAGATTCATAAGATGGCTATTGGTAACAACAAACATTTTTCATTTTAGGGGGACTGATGATTTTGTGAGAGCACACATGTATTTACCCTAACAGCCTATAAACTCAGGAATAATTCTCAAAATGATCTAAAACAAATTTACCCAATTATTTCACTTAATTTGTAATATAAGACCCTAAGGAACTTTAGAATTTCACATAAACTACCTTTTCAATGCTGTAGCTACTTATGAAACCAAAAACTACTCAGGTAGTATGTTTAATTTTTCCAGCCAAGACAAATTGCACATTTTTTCCCATGAAGTGAAGGACTATAGTGTCTGGTTAAAAAAACACTTGGATTCAAATTCCCACTTGACCTCATATTGGTTACATAAGCTTTGCAGTCCATGGGGTCACAAAGAGTCGGACACGACTGAGTGACTGAACTGAACTGAAGCTTTGACAAGTTATTTGCCCTCCTTAGGACTTAGCTTCCTTATCTATAAAAATAAGGATAATAATACCAAACTCTTGATCTCTTATGAGGCAGAGATGAGATCATGTTCCTACATTGCTTAGTACAGTGCAAAGTATAGTATAGTATGCAGTAAGCTCTCAATGTTTAGAATTCCTTAATCTGAATAAAAAACATGCTTAAGTTAATATTATTTTTAAAACTTTAAGTTCTTAAAACCTTACTACAATATCACTGTAAAGGAAGGCTTGAGATAAAGTTATCCTCTTTTAAAAACTCATCCAAGCCTAAATGCAATGTGATATCATGGATGGGATCCTCCAACAGAAAAAGGTCATTAGTGGAAAAACTGGTGAAAATCCAGTGAAATCTAGAATTCAGGTAATAGCACTGTACCTGCACTGGTTTCTTAGCTCTGACAAATGTACCATAGTAAAGTGAGATGCTAACATGAAGGGAAACAAACTGCATGAGGGGTATTATGCTGTATTAAATCTGCAGCTTTTCTTCAGACTTAAAACTGTTTCAAAAATCTTTTTAAGAAAACTCATCCAAAGAGAATTAATGTGAGATACCAAAGGGACTTTGTTATAAGGCAGTGTCATGTTGAAGGCAGCACTGTAATGTCTTCAGTGTATATGAATGCTATATGGTTCATAAATACAATTGCACATTGAGCCATCAATCCATTTGATTATACCCTCATACCCTCATTTTCCCTGTCAGTTTTTTATTTCCTTTTCTTTGGGGTTCTCACCCTAAATTTTTTTGACACCCCTCTTTCCTCTTAGAAGGTAGAACAAGAGAAGACACTAAACAAGAAGTTTTAAAAAGCAAGAAATAAGTATTGGTTACTGGCAGAATAACTATCATGCCAAACTGAATTTAATATAATTTTAATTTTTCATTCACATGCATTCAGATACCAACCTCAAAAGAAAGAAAAAAGAGGGAAGAAAAGGAAAACCACTGATTCCTGTACTAACAATGAACAAATGTGATTCAAACAAAATCAAATGTATCCTTCACTGTATCTCATACAGAGAGTTAAGAACCACCCAGTTTCACAGGACCGCTTGGACCTAAACACTGTTTGGATGGAAGACAGGTCAAAAAGAACTGTGTGTAAGTATAAGGTGAGCTTCCTTTCAGCCCAGAATTTCCAAACATTGCTGGTATGGTACTGTATGGCATACGTTTACTTTAAAATTACTACTATGTTTACTTCCAAGTTTTTTGTTTGCTTGTTTTTGCTTCATTTTATTCTATTTTTTGAGAGTTGCATGACAACTTTAGAACTCACTGGAGGTAGCTAAGAACTGCTTTGGGGATGTTTTGCCTTAGGCCTGCCATTCTTCCAGGCAGCAAAATTCTAAGTCCTTCATTAAGGCATCCTTGGTCATATCAACCTGTCAGTTGCAGTGGTGCTGCCCAATGCTAAAGTTGGAGCTTCTTGCCATTAGGCGGCAATGTTAGAGGTGCCACTATCCTTGGCCCTGCTCACTCATCACAGTACTCTCCAGGGCTGAGTGAAGAACCAGTCTCAGAATCCTTCTCAACCAGAAGTCCAATCAGCCAGGACCATTATACTCAGAACTGGGAAACAGCCTCATGAAACCTACATGCTATCCCTGATCCGTGATATTTATCATAAACAAGGAAAGAAAAGGTCAGATTTAAATACCACTGCTCTACTTCAATATATTTATGCATTTCAGGAAATGCCTCATTAAGATTCAAGAGGAAAATAAATGAAGAGCCCAGAAAAGAAAGGAAGCCACAGAATGAAAGCAAGTTAAATGGTCTTGAAAACTTAAAAAAAAATAACAAATCCAGTCAAGGAACAAGTTACATGTGAGAAAACAACTTACCCATTGCAGTGAGGTCTTCATTGAGTTCCTGGAGCCAGAAGATGTCCATGTCGTCTAGGTCATAGCGGCACACAGATGCTGCCAGCTCCTTGATGTTGATGTAGCCAGGCTCTGAGGTCTCTGGGTTGGAGCACTGGATATATTTTCGGGGCCGGACAAATAGGACCTCCTTTTTCTTGTCGGCCATAACCCTAGCAAAGCAAAAAGACACTGATAACAATCAACAAATGACAGATTCCATGCACTGACTGGATGGCTCAATAGCACTCAGGCCATACAGTGGAGCTAAATGTTCTCCCTCCCCACCCTGGGGAAATCCCCTGCTCTGCCAACTGAAAGGCATGATAAGACCCCTTTCTAGAAGGCAAATAGTTCTACAAATCCAGTTTTGTCATTTGCTGTGAATACTCTGACTTTTAATGAAATGCTTCATTTACCCTGTGGCTCCTAAGTCCCTACTACCACTCATTCTAATAAAATGTTGTTGCATTGTGAGTTCTTGGTGCAATGGCCACCACATTTATTTAGAAGGGGAAATAGCAGAAGGAGTGATACCTGTACAAAGGCACAGCCAGGTTCCACACCAAAGGTAAGTTTTAGCTAAATTCATGATTTTCTATCATAGAGGCCATACTGGATGGTAGTAAAGAGTACAGGCTATAGACTCACACAATCTGTTTTTTACTTCCACTCATTTGCATGGTGGTCTTGGGCAATTACTTAATTTCTATAAAGTCCAGTTTTCTTAGTTAAAATATAAGGATGATAATCATAAATTATAATAGTATCAAACTTATACAGTTATTATGATGATTATATGAAATTAAATAATCAAGTGCTTAGCACAGTGTACAGTAAAAACTGGATGATTAATAATGCCATTGTTACTTTTATATCTCCTATTTTCACTATTTATACAGATGAGTTAAAGCCAAGAAGCTATAGATTTATACAAACTTAAGGCATTTCTCAACCATAAATGATAGTGACTGTAAGTCTGGGCCAGGATAAGACAATGGGATGAAAGATTCCCATTCTTCCATCATATTATCTAGCAGGCCTAAGTCAACCCATATTTCCCCTAACCTCTCCTGACACTTAAGATCCTAAGGCAAGGAAACCAAATAAGGAAAGAAACAGAAATTCTCACACCAATGACTGACTCCATAATCAATGTTTTAGATGCTACATGAAGTATCAGAACACATAACCAAGAGGGAATCTGAATAATTATTCCCTGGAAATTTTAAAGAACAGGGTAAGCCATCTAAAGAAGAGAGAAAGAAATATATATACATATATAAAATAGTGAAAACTGTTTCTCTGGAAGGCTTCTGGAGCCAGTTTCCCTACTTTAGAGTTACTATGTGTGTAGAATGATTCATAAACATAAGTGTATTCATATGAATACACATAACTATATTAGGTTGGTGCAAAGGTAACTGTGCTTTTGCATTGTTGAATTTTGCTGTTTGATATTAGAATACATCCTTAAATAAACATGGCTATGTTAGACATCATTTTAATGCACATTTCTTGCTTTATGTTTTTTGCTAATGACTTATTACTTGCTGTTTACTTTATATTTATTTTAAACTACAGAAATGATGTTAGGCAAAAAGTAAATTCGAACAATTTTTTTATTCAAGTTCAAAATGAGTTATAAAGCAGGGGAGACAACTCACAACATCAACAATGCATTTGGCTCAGGAACTGCTAACGAACATACAGTGCAGTGGTGGTTCAAGAAGTTTTGCAAAGGAGACAAGACCATTGAAGATGAGGAGTGTAGTGGCTGGCCATCGGAAGTAACAACCAATTGAGAGCATCATTGAAACTGGTCCTCTTACAACTATATGAGAAGTTGCTGAAGAACTCAGTATCGACCATTCTATGGTTGTTCAACATTTGAAGCAAATTGGAAAGGCTAAATAACTCATTAAGTGTGTGCCTCATGAGCTGAGTGAAAAAAAAATCGTCGTTTTGAGGTGTCTTCTTCTTTTATTCTACACAACAACAACAAAACATTTCTTGATCAGATTGTGATGTGTGATGAAAAGTGGATTTTGTATGATAGCCAGCGATGACCAGATCAGTGGCTGGACTGAGAAGTGCCAAAGCACTTCCCAAAGCCAAACTTGCACCAAAAAAAGATCACGGTCAGTGTTTGGTGGTCTGCTGCTGGTCTGATTGACTACAGCTTTCTGAATCCCAGCAAAACTATTACATCTGAAAAATATGCTTAGCCAGGTGATGAGATCACCGAAAATTGCAACACCTGCAGCTGGTATTGATCAACAGAAAGGGCCCAATTCTTCTCCATGACAATGCCTACCCAACTGCACATCACACCACCAATGCTTCAAAAGTTGAACAAATTGGGCTATCAAGTTTTGCCTCATCTGCCAGATTCTCCTGACCTCTTGCCAACCGACTACCACTTCTTCAAGCATCTTGACAACTTTTCTCAGGGAAAACACTTTCACAACCAGCAGAAGACAGAAAATGCTTTCCAAGAGTTCATCGAATCCTGAAGCATGGAGTTTTGCACTATAGGAATAAACAAACTTATTTCTCGTTTGCAAAAATGTGTTGATTGTAATGGTTCCTATTTTGATTACTAAAGATGTGTTTGAGTCTAGTTATAATGATTTAAAATTCATGGTCTGAAAATGCATTCACTTTTGTACCAACTTAATATACAGAGGTACAGTCCACTCTGTAAATATAGAGTGAATATTTCCTAAGCATTCTTCTAGAAACTTATGATTCCAAATAACGCATGTTGAATAAAATAACTACATGCATTCACATATTTTAATTTTTAAAAAACCATACAGAGCTTTTAAAGCCAAAGGCAATAAAATATTTGAGGAAGAAGTAGAACTCCAAAATAATTAATGGAAGCTAAAAATTTGGGAAATGCTCTCAGAGGCCTGCTTCCCACTGAAATGAACCCAACTGAAAAGGCCAAGACATGCGTATGAATTCCCCACAGTCTATGAGATTAAATATGCTGTGCTGTTTGGTGCATGTTTTATGAGGTAATTATAGAATATTTATTTTTTTCAAGATTCATCTTTTTCTAAAAGGAAGAATATTTTGCTTATCTATTCATCTTAATTGCCTCAAATTCCCTGTGGAACAAGGTAGACCTAGAGATGTTCTTGATTTAAACTAATACATTTATTAAGCTTCTGGAAGAAAATAAAAAGGAGTATCTTTATGACCTTGGGATAGACAAAGATATTTTAAGTAAGACACAAAGTCATTAACCATAAAGGAAGAGACTGGAAATACTGTTTATCAACAGTGTATAATAAACTTTTACAAATCAATTAGAAAACGACAGATAAGTCAGTTAAAAACTGGGCAAAAAATTTGAATAGACACTTCACAAATAAGGCTATCCAGATGGCAATAATCTCAAAAGGTTCTCAACTTCATCAGTTAATACAGAAATGCAGATTGAAATCATAATCACCATTACCTACTAGAATGGCTAAACTTGAAAAGATTGAGCAAAAATTGAAGATACTAAGTGCTTGTAAGGAAATGGAGCAAACAGACCACTGCTGCTGGGAATGTGAACTAGTACAATCATTGTGGCAAACTGTCTGGCAGCAGATATTATGGCTGAACATATGTATACTCTATGACCCAGCAAACCCACTCCTATGAATATACTTTAAAAAGTACACATACATATATATACACACACACACTAAAAGATGAACAAAAATGTCCATATTAGCATTTTTCATAATAGCTGAAAACTGAGAGCAAACCAAATATCTATCAAAAGTAGAATGCATAAATAAAGTGTGGTATATTCATACAATGGAATATTACACAGAAGTGAAACTTAATGAAATGCTACATGCAACAGCATGGATGAATCTCACAACCATAATGATGAACAAAATAATCCAGTCTCAGTATGAAGGTTAAAAACTGGCAAAACTGCCACCTATGGTGAATGAAGTCAGTGGGGAGGAGAAGGAGGGCTTCTTGGGTGTTGATAATGCTCTATTTCTTGATCTGGGTGGAGGTTAAACAAGGGTATCATGAAAACTGAGTTATACAGTTATGCATTGGTTATCTTTCTGGGTGTATATTTCAATGCAAAATTTATAACACGATGATGATATTATCTCATTCATCTTTTCATATGTCTGAATCTAAGGACTAAGCCTATGACAATAAAAAAAAATATAGGCTCAAACAGTAATGGCAAAGGATACCCACAAGGAGAAATTCTTATGATAGAGGGAAGGTCCATGACAATAAATGAAAAAATACTACTTTGGGTTTTGTAAAATGCAGCTTTAAGATCTTCAAGTACACATTATATTGCTATAGCTGGTGGAAATCCCAGGATCATCCCTTGGTGATTTTCTTCTCTGGCCACTATATACTAGGTAGAGGGGCATTCTCTGAATGGTCATCAGATCATTGAACAAAATAGCAAAAGCACACAAGCCTAGAGGTATGAGCAAGTTTGTTAGGGTGATGCAGTAAGTGCAGTTTTAAATTTGGATGTTTGAATGTAAATGAATGTGTAATAACTTCCTGGATGACCAATTTTGGTGAAAGGACCCACAACCACACCTACTTAGCCTCATAGAAAGAAGGCCTCTCCACCTGCTCCTCAGAGTAGGTCAGCTAACCTCTGGCCCATGTGAACACTGCTGTGACACTAAGGAGGCATTAAAAAGAAGCTGGAACCACTCTAAGCTGACCTACAGCCTCTTCCAGTGTTTTATGCACACTGAGTCCTTAGTGAGTCTTCAGTTGATCTAAATATTTAACAGGGAGAGACTATTATTAAAGAGACTTCATTTCCTAACAAGTGGATCAGAATCATTTGTGAATAGCACAAAAATTGCACAAATTCCATAACATCATGGACTTTTAAAGGCTTGAGTAAATGTCTTAAAAGCTAACTAAATAGAAGCCCCTTATAATAATATCCCTAGGAATAGTTTCCCAAGATGCCCCTTGTTAATTTTGCCACTCTTGCTTCTCTGCAAGACTCCATGTCTCATCTATGAACAAAGGACAATTATAACCTCTATGACAGATGGTATTTTAAAAATTCCACATGCTCTCTTCTACAATGTGACTCTGCCCCTCCCCCATCAAGTGGTGAAGTCTATTTCCCCTCCTCTTGAATCAGGGAGGGCATGTG